ATGCCTTCTGGATGCCTGGTGTTCCAGGCATGTCCCACCAGGAGGAGGCCTCCAGGAAGACTCAGGACACACTGGAGGGACTATGTCTCTCGGCTCGCCTGGGAACGCCTCTGGATCCCCCTGGAGGAGCTGGAGGAAGTGTTTGGGGTGAGGAAAGCCTGGAGTTCTCTCCTAAGACTGCTGCCCCCGGCCCCAGTAAAAGCGGATGAAAATGAATGAATGAATTCTCCGTTTCCTTCAGGATTAGTCCCTGCTTGCTAATAGTCTTAATTAATTATAAAGTATATTTTGATACGTTTGTAATCTCATCTAATCTTCTGAATCTTTCAGGTGTTGAATTTGACATAAAGAACAGACGTAAGGACAGATGACCTGCAGAGGATAATGACAAATGTGCGGCTTTATTCATATGTTCATAGAGCACATGTGGTCATGACCTGCAAGCGAGAGTGGAGAAAGTGCAGAGCCGCGCACGCATTACGAGCCATTTCATAACCTAGCACGTTGTCAGCAGCTTCCTCATACGCACACATTACAGGATACACTGTATCATGATGTTATACACACAGCAGACTAGTATGGTAAGTCTACAATTACATCCGTCAATGACGTCCGGAATGAAGCAGTTACAGCTGCTGACTGCACAATGATGAACACTGAAGGGGGAAACCATCAGGTCATCTGCTGTGATGACCATGAGCCTCACTGAGACCCCGCCCCCTCTCAAAACAACCAGATTTATGCAAATCACAGGGGTCGCCCCATTGAGCTTGGAAAATACGGAGATCTGGATTTATCCGGAACAATCACATCCCTGATACATGTGTGTGTGGGAGTTTTAAATGATTGTGTATGTGTTAGGAATTATTCGGTGTGTGTGTGTGTGTGTGTATGTACGTGTTTTTGTGACATATCAGGACACAAATCTGTATAATGACATAGGAATGACACAGGTATTACAAAAAGGGGGTGAAATATGAGGACATTGGTGACGTCCTCATTTCTCAAAATGCTTATAAATTCTACAGGATGAATTTAATCAGAGAGTAAAGCTGCACACAGTCTCCTGAGATGGTTGGGTTTAGGGGTGGGGTGGGGTGAGGGCAATATAATATACGGTTTGGAGTGTATAAAATGAATGGAAACCTATGTAATGTCCCCACTTTTCACAAAAACAAACATGTGTGCGTGCGTTTGTGTATGATTGTGAGTGTAAGTGTGTGCATGTTTGTGTGTGTTTTTTCTTTGTTTCAGGGTGTGTGAGTTTGTATGTGTGTTTGTTCTGAATGTTTCAGAGTGTGTGTGTGTGTGTGTGTCTACCGTTGGGTCTGGTCTCTCTGATCTGCTGTATGATGCTCCTGACGGCTGCAGCCTGATTCCTGGACCTCACTGTAACACCACCACACGAGCTCCAGCCTGCACACACACACACACACACACACACACACACACACACACACTGTGTTTTACTGTATTTAATTGGTGTATGTGTGTGTGTGTGTGTGTCAGCACTGGTCTTCACTCACTGGAGGGTGCGACACACACTGGGCTGCTGCTCTGAGCCGGACTCCAGCCTCTGACGTTATACGCACTGACCCGGACATAATACTGCACACCCTGCACACACACACACACACACACACCTGAGTCTCTCTCTCACACACGCATGTGTCTAGTAAAGAGACAAGCGTGTCTTACAGTCTGCAGTCCTGTGATGCTGAACTCTGGGCTTCTGATGTCACTGATGAAGGCGGAGCCACAGAGAGGATGAAAAGAAGAGGCGGAGCTCCACTCCACTGCACACACACACACACACACAAAGAGATAAACACACGTGCTGATGAACACAAAGAGATAAACACACACACAGGTGAAGGTGTGACCTGTACACACTGCGTCTCACCTCTGTATCTGCTGATGAGTCCGTGTGTGTGACCGAGAGGCTCGCTGACCCGCACACACACACTGCTGTCTCCCGTCACCTGCAGGGCGGCGCCAGCGGGCGGAGGGGGCGGAGCTACAGGACAGATGGACAGCTGATCACACCTGTGTGTGTGTGTGCGTGTGTGTGTGAGTTTGAGTCAGTCAGTGTATGTTTGTGTGTCTGTGCAGTATATATTTGAGTGATTGTGTGTGTGTGTGTTTTGAATTATTCTGTTTGTGTACGTGTACGTATGTATTTGGAATTATGCAGAGTGTGTGTGTGTGTGTGTGTGTGTGTGTGTTTTATGTAAATGTTAGTGTGAGTGTGTGCATGTGAGTTTGTATTGAATGTTTCAGGGTGTGTGTGTGTGTGTGTGTGTGTATGTGTGTGTGAGTCTGTGTGTTTTGAATGTTCCAGTGTCTGAGGGTGTGTGTTTGTTTTAAATGTTTCAGTGTGTGTGTGTGTGTGTGTGTTTGTTTTAAATGTTTCTGTTTGTGTGTGTTTGTGTGTGTGTGTTAATTGTTTCAGGATGTAATTGTATGTGTTTGTTTTGAAAGTTTCAGTGTGTGTGGGTTTGTGTTTGTGTGTGTGTGGGTGTGTGTTTTATATGAATGTTAGTGTAAGTGTGTGCATGTGTATTAGTATTGAATGTTTCAGGGTGTGTGTGTGTGTGTGTTCTGAATGTTTAAGTGTGTATGTGTGTGTTTGTTTTAAATGTTTCAGTG